CAAATAAAACACATCATATTCCTGTGGAAACTAAGCATGATTCGCTCTTCACTCATGACCATCATAAATATGTTTCATCACCTGAAAAGCTTCTCTATACTCTTCCCCATTACTCGCCATTAGAAATGGGTCGTCGTAGGGACAAGGTAAAGACGAGGCCAAACAAACATACAAACACACAATCAGCAATGTTGAGTACATAAGCATAATAAAACACACCAACATGCTTTCATCCTATCAACACACAACTTACCGAGTTGCACCTGTAAACAAGCATACAATCATTCAATACTTAACTAGACAATAACTAGTCTAATTATTTAGCTTGATTACGCATCGAACGGGTTTCCCCCTAACCTGCCCCAATAAAGGGGTACTAACACAGGAGCTAACCGTGCCATTATAAAATAAACCACTCGTAAGTGGCGGAATTTCTGAGCATAATAAAAATGAATATACAGCGTCCTGTACTCCCAGTAGAACTTATGGTCAAATATAAAGTCGCATAACTCCCCCCATATGTTCATACTCAAGGTATACATTCCAAGAGTTTTGGTGCGTAATCTCTTTCACTCTACATTGTTTACATATTATTATAGTTGGTGATAACTCTTAACCATAACACAATCAATCATAATAAATCATTCAAGCAATCAAACATACCGATTTAATTCTTGAATAATTAGTGATCACATAAATTTAATTGTTGAACCCTTTTAATCTACCTCGGTGTTAAATAACACCTTAAGCGCATAAAGCACCTCAAATCATATCCCTTGGTGTTAGAAACACCTTAAGTGCACTTAGGCACCAAAATACAATTTAATCCTCGTGTACATAGACACTTAAATAGCTCCTTCCTCATGCTTATAGCATCAATAAAAATTATATGAACCATAATGAAATTTCCTTTTCATACACCAAACCAAATTAAACATTTAGTTTAATTAAACATGCTCTTTAACATGCCAATAATAAAAGTGTGGTTCATAATCAACATGCCAACATAATTAATTCCAATCACCAATTCATCACAAATAATTCATACGTCACAAATCATTAACATCAATCCGACTAACAAATTCCAACCAACACTTATCATGATACTACTTGGAATTAATTAAAAATAAAGCCTAGCATGCTTCTACATATTCAAATAATTACTAAGTACGGGAACGTACCTTGAATATATATGATCTCAAAATCGCTACGACTAAATAAAATCACTCACTTGAAAGTCTCTTACAAACGAAAATTACAAAGAAGTATTAATAGATCTTCCACACAAATTTCCGAAATCTGAGAAGTATTAATATCTCTTCCACACAAATTACAAATAAGTATTAATACCTCTTCCACACAAATACATTCATTAATTACAATACAAGCAATTCTCTCACATCAGAGAAATCCCCTGATCTCGAAATCTGAGAAGATCTCACTTTAGTTTCCGCACCTTTTCACTTTCTCCGTATACGTTCTAACTTGATCGTCGGAGGCGGACTTCCACCCAACCAGAGTCTCCGTTGTTTTGTAAGTATAGGCGCCCGAAATCCAATCTTGGTGACATAACTCTTTTGAAAGATAAGAAACCCCGAAACAGAATATATTAGGTAATCTATACTTGAAATTTGAAAACATGAGTGCACTGACACATGCCCATTGAGAATTAAGGTGAGGTCAATGTTGTTCTCTATGACCGATCGTTTAAATGAAGGTGTCATGTGTCACTATCCCTCCATGTCATCCACATCCTTTTGATCTCATCATAACCACAAAAATACACGACGTACATCAAATTCAATTCTTAGCTACTAAGCTATGCAATATTTGATGTTATTACTATATAGTAGTGGAGGGGAAGGGTAAGAAAATCCCCCTACATCTAAGTATTTTGTAATTAGTGGGACTCGAACTTGTGACCTCAAAGTCACAAGGTGAGTTTCTCACCAACTCCACCAAGCTTTACTTAGTATAAATTGTACTTATATAATACTTCACAATAAGAAGTGAAAACACGTTGACCCATAGAAATGCCTGGACCTAAAAACTATTTATATAATTAACACGTTCACCCACGATATATGTAAGTTAGTGAAGAATGGGACCAGCCTTGCTGAAAATTCTAGAGGCCATGTAACCGTAAAGTCAAGCAGAGGTGAGATTCAGACCATATGCTCCTCTTATGGTCTAAGAGATGGCCTTCAATACTTGGCAATATACCATTAGAAAAATCCTTCAAATTAAGAGATGGTTAGAATTAGACTTTCAAGATGCCTTGTGTAGACACCTAATCGTGTCTCCCCAAAAACCATACCCAGTAATGAGTATCTTTCATGTTTTGATTAACGAGTTCGGTAAAGAATTGAAGAATCTCGTGAATTTTCCTTAAGCCTTGACCATATTCCTAACCTTAACTAAAATGTTTTAATCCAAAATCATTCATTTCGTTTCCTTAAAATCATTCATTTCGTGTCCAATTCATAAAAACGTCCAAACCAGATTATTTTGGTCCAATTCATGATTTATTGTTATTGCTTGATCACGCTCTTTCTTGCAGGTTTAAAGGAAATTTGTACTTAAAATCACGCATAATAAGATAATTAATAATTTAATTTAGGCTAATATGATTTTAATTCAAGTGATTATCAATATTAGATTTGATTGTGCATTAATAATCAACCAACATAGATTAAACAGGTTTAGGGTTAATTTGATGTATGTATGTTGATCGAAAAGCGCGCATGAATATCAATAAGAATCAAGTAGAGACTTATTTAGGGCGGGTTTGGCTTCTCTTAGGACAAATTTGTACCATCATCCCTAAACATCCAGTCATGGTTCCGGACCACTATGGAGTTAGCAATCTCTGTGATTGTGCATGGGGTGTAACCTTCACACTCGTGAACGGTTTACAAGTTCTTAAAACTTGTTGCCGACTCTTTTTCTCTAGCTTCTTTTCTTTGGAGTGCCGCCATGCTTAAAAGCATGACCCACACGTAGGGCGAGTGGAAAAATTCCCTCACCTTGTATGTTGTTATCTTGAAAGAGATCTCAAAGTTTACATGCCCATCATCAATGGTTAAGGAAATTAGCACCTAGTGTTTAAACTTTAATGCCAAATTAAGTTCATTAAATCTCTCTAGAAAAATTATTGTGTTTTACATACTTGTTTACATTAAAAGAAGTACACCTTTCATCTCGTAAAGTTCTTACTATTTGACTTTTTTTGACCTATTACTTTGACTTTTAGAGACAGAGGACAATAAGGTTACATAATATACATATTACAATCCCAAAATAATACAACGGTTTTAAAAAAAAATCAAAGAACAATGTTTGAACAATAGGTTGTAAGAAAACAATATTTATTCTCAATATGAAGAATTATTTTTTTTTTCAAGTTTGGACAAAATTGCAAGTATTATAAGAATTTCAAAGAAATAGATGGAGGTAATTTGAGAAGTTATATTTTACAAATTTACGAAAAATATCATGTTATATGCTCTATGCTACTATCCATCGGTAAAACATTTTTTTAAAATAGTTTCTAATAGAAAATCATTATCACCAAACTTGTTCTCTTCCGCTTAATTTCAGTTCAGCTCAGTTTAGTTCAGTTCAGTTCCTAATTTCCTTCTCTCATAAATAGTTCAGTACAAAACAGGCCCTAAGTACTTGAAATTAGTTGAATTGAAGCCTAGGTGGGCATGTGCTTCACCCTACCAAAAACATAATTGTATGTATGCGACAATATAAATTAAAATAAAATAAAATAAATTACAAAAGTAAATCTCTAGTAATAACCCATTAACCCCCACTAATGCCACTAGAGATTTGATTGGGGAAAAGGTGGCTCTCAGTCGGACTTATGAGGCAATTACACGCTTAAATTGCATTCAAACAAGGTTGCTGAGCTTACTACTTGGTTAAGCCAATATAACAACCCATTGTACTAGGAAATCCATAACAAATTTCAATCAACTTCTAAATTAAATAAACAAAAAACATGAATAGAATGCTTTGTAGGGTCCACACTTAGTCATGAGATAATGAAAATTATGTGAGAACAAAAGAATTGGGTGGGATTGTGGGAAGTGAGAACACTAGGACTAATTAACGACATGAATTTTATTGTCTTAAATCATAAATAAGGATGATAATGACTTTTTGCAAGGTTTTAGTTTTCTTTACTACTTATGTTTAGAGTTGTCAAAACATGACCCGATTGATCCGACTCGAAATCGACCCAAAAAATATTCGATTTAGATTTCGACTTACATGGACACAAATAATAATTTAACATGACTCAAGTTTGAAAATAAACTCGGTCCAAATCGACCTCACCGAACCCGACCCCAACACCTACACCTGAATTGACACCCCTACTTATATTTCTATTTTCTAGAATGGGAATACTATTTTTAAAAAAAAAAATTGTTACCAGGGATTTTTTTTTTTTTTTTTTTTTTTTTTGACAAGTAAATGGGGATACTGGATTGTTTTCATTGTTGTAGTCAATTATCCTAAATTTCTTTCCTCTAAAAAACAAAAATTAGGGTAATGTTATACGTCGTCCTTAACGCTATAAATAAGCATTTAATATCTTTCCTTATTTGATATATGTTTATAAATGCATGACAAAATCGCATATCAGTGTAATCATTGAATTTATTTCATTCATATTTTCCTCAGGCTAAATATAGCATTTTCCAAAAAAAATTATCCTAAATTTCTAATAATTTTTTTTTGGTAGTAATACGTTCAAACTATTGTGACAATGGTTATTTGGAAAAAGTTTTGTCGAACATAACCATTTAAACACGTATAAATTTTAAGCATTTTATATGTAGTTCATATTTAAATTTTAGTTTTGATTTCTTATCCAAGAAAGGTAAAATTTAAACATAACATTAAGAGCAATATAATATTTAGTGTTTTCCATCAAAGAAAGAAACCGGGGCGAAATATAGGAAATAGGGCTGCCCATCAATTTCATTATTGACTCGAATAATAATAAATAATGCACCTATTGTCAACATCAGACTTAATCACTGAGACAAATTAAAAGGAATAAAATTTTATGAATGATCATATAAAAACATGAAAATCCATAAATTAGGTAAGAACAACTGAGCTACCAAAAGAATCTATCAATGGCTCCTCTTAGTTGGCTTTTTTTCTTTGTTTTACACTATAATTGCTTGCAATTTTGCTCTGCCATTGACAATCACAGCATCACCACCACTCAATTTCTGCAGGATTCTCAATCTTTAGTATCAAGAAATGGTACTTTCAAGCTTGGTTTTTTCAGCCCTACAAATTCTGCCAATCGTTATGTTGGTATATGGTTTAACCAAGTTCCTGATAGGACTGTTGTTTGGGTGGCAAATCGCGACAACCCCATCAGTGATTCATCCGGTGTACTGCAGATTTCTGACGACGGAAATCTTCAGTTGATCGATGGTCAGAAAAAGATCATTTGGTCAACTAATGTAACAGGTTTAGTCATTAAGAATTCTACTGCAGAGCTTCTGGATTCAGGGAACCTGGTTTTACAGCAGTCTAACTCTACTGATACACCGGCAACAGTATGGAAAAGCTTTGATCATCCTACAGATACCTTCTTACCTGGTATGAGACCCACAGTTTTAAGTACTCCTAACAAGAAAAATGTCATTTTCCGATCATGGAAAAGCCCCTCGGATCCTTCTGTGGGGAGCATCTCAGTTGGTATTGGCACCCCAAACGGCCTTGCCCAAATCTTTATGTGGAAAGACGGTGCTAACTTCTGGCGAAGTGGTCCATTTGACGGTAACAATTTAATTGGACTCCCAAACGTTGATAATACATTGAAGGATGGATTTGTTCTCGAGGAGAATGATGGGAATGGAACATATGACATTTCGTTTGAGCCAGAAGATACGTCTCTATTGTTCAACTATGTGGTAAAGTCTAATGGTACTATTATAGAGCAATATTGGAATGATGCAAACTGGGTAGCAGGGTGGGTAGCTCCATCAGCCGCGTGTGAGGTGTATGGAACGTGTGGGGCTTTTGGCTCCTGTATTCATGACTCTGCGACTTGCAAATGCTTGCAAGGTTTTAAACCGAAATCTGATCAGGAATGGAAAAGGGGAAATACAAGCAGTGGGTGTGTAAGACGGAAAAAACTTCAATGTGGCATCCAAGGAGGCACTGAAGATGAATTTTTAAGGCTACAGACAATGAAAGTTCCAGACAAAGCAGTGCCGATATCAGCATTTAGTCAGGATGGTTGTAGAAGTCAGTGTGTGACCAACTGTTCGTGTTTAGCTTATGCATATCATTTGAATATTGGATGCATGATATGGAACGAAGACTTGATCGACACTCAGGGCTTTTCTGCTGGTGGGGTGGATCTTTACATCCGTCTAGCAGCATCAGAGCTAGGTAACAACACTCATTCCTCCTTAGTATAGTAATAAACAGGAAATGATGATAATTGATGCATACTTTACTTTCAGATAGAAGTAAAAGTCACAAAAAGACTGCAATTATCACATCAGTAACAATTTTAAGTGCAATAGTTGCTGCAATTTTCATATACTTTCTAAGAAGGCGGATGAAGCAGAAAGGTAATATAAATGCTGTTAATATTTCTAGTGTTGGTTATGTTAGCATTCTAAAATTTCTCATATTGACTCATATATATTAGGAAAGAGACAGCAATCAAACAGATACAATTTTGAAGTTGGGCAACTTGAACTACATGAGCCACCACTTTATACATATGATTTACTGAGAAATGCTACAAACAATTTTGATGAAAGTAACAAACTTGGAGAAGGTGGCTTTGGTCCAGTGTACAAGGTAATACTTGTTTGATCAATCTGAAATGTGAGTGTAACGCCAACAAAGAATTGTATTTATTAATATGCTACATATATTTCAGGGAATATTGGAAAATGGACAGGAAATAGCAGTGAAAAGACTTTCAAAATCATCTGGACAAGGCCTCGAAGAGTTCATGACTGAAGTGAAGGTGATCTCAAAACTTCAGCACAGAAATCTTGTCAGACTTCTAGGATGTTGCATAGAAGGAGAGGAGAAAATGTTAGTTTATGAATACATGCCTAATAAAAGCTTGGATAGTTTTCTCTTTCGTAAGTATTATGTTATGTTGCTTCATTTCTTGCAATGTTTATACAGATCATTACATATTTTTTTCCTTTAATCTCTTTTTCTCTCTTTAAAGAGTTTACATTGCATCTTATCTTCCAACCCCTAAAGAATGAAAAAGAGAGTTAAAATAACTAACTTGGCTGTTTTCGCTTGTAAAAGAAGATTCCCTGCATCAAGAACATCTATCATGGGAGAAACGCTTCAATATAATAGAGGGCATATGTCGTGGTCTCCTCTACCTTCACAGGGATTCAAGATTAAGAATTGTTCATAGGGATCTAAAACCAAGTAATATTTTGTTGGATGAAGATCTCAACCCTAAAATTTCGGATTTTGGCATGGCACGGATATTTGGGGGTAACCAAGATCAAGCAAACACTAAAAGAGTGGTTGGAACCTAGTAAGTAAGCATTTGTTTTTTTACTGAGAAACTGAAGACCAATAAATCTCAGAACTTGCCTGACATTTTTTGTATGGCAGCGGTTACATGTCTCCTGAATACACAATGGGGCACTTCTCTGAAAAATCAGATATCTACAGCTTAGGAGTTATACTATTAGAAATCATCAGTGGAAGAAAAAACTCCACCTTTCACCGCGATGAGCAGTCTCTGACACTGATGGGATCCGTAAGTGATCAAACTTTACACATCTTAAAACATTCCTTGCATATAAGATGAAACAATTTTGCAGAATTTGCAGTCACTGTCTAATCTTGGCTTAATGTTTTCAGGCATGGAAATTGTGGAATGAGGGGAATATGATTACATTCATTGATCCTGCTATTCTTGAGCCATGTTCTGAGAAAAGCATTCTTAAGTGCATACAGATTGGACTATTGTGTGTCCAGGAACTTTCTAAAGATAGGCCGAACATCTCAACAGTTATATCCATGCTTGAAACTGATGCAGAACACCTACCACATCCCAAAAAACCTCCATTCACAGAATGGGAGATTTCTTCGGAGGATCAGCAAAGTAGTTCTCTCCTCAGCAGTTCTACTAACACTTATTCCACAACAATTATACAGGGTCGATAATATGAGCTCTCAACATATAGCAGTCAGAGCCTTAGCAGTCAGAACCTCAGAGGTACAGTTAATCAACGGCCTGTTTGTAAGTCCAACAGTAGTTGAAAAGTGTGATACGCATATTGAGCTGAATTGATTCCAATAAAACAAAAAAGCAGTAAAATGATGCTATACATGTGCATTATCTCCTGAATAACTTTACAGTATGAATTGGATTGGACGTTGATGATTAGCGTTTGCTACATATTATGCTTAGAAATCAGTATACACAACTGCAGTTCATTGGTTAAACTATCAAATTTTTTTTCTGTAATGTCTCAATTTTTTTTCTGTAATGTTTCTTAGATGAAGGCGGTAATGTCTCTTGCACCCTTTTAAAGTACAGGAACAAGAATGATAACTCTGACAGACAGGCTTAAGGTTACAGCTAAGTCATCAATCACCATTAAGCTCGGGCTAAATGTGTAAAAACCAAAACACAAACAATACTTGTAAACTTCACTAAGCTCGTCAGATATAAATTACTTAACCTAATAAGGAACAGTAGCAAGAAGAAAATGAGAATTTTGAAATACAAATAATAGGATGAATTTGATTAGGTTACATTGTAAAACTATGCACAGCTTCAGGATTCAAGAAAATGGGGGTTTGACTCGTCATCTACAGAAAAAGATATTGATTTGGGTAGTAGGGCAATATTAGATACTATCGTATATAAGTACTTGACTACTCAGACATGCTATAGACATAAAATACTTCATTTTATCTATTACTAAAGAATGGTCGACTCCAACACTTATCTATTACTCATACATCAGACATGTATGTGAGTTAATTAACATAGAGCAGATAAATTGGTTCTTATAATTAAACTCGGCTGCTAGAACCTATGGACAGTTAGCCACCGATATGTTCAAAATCAATGTAGAGAAACATTACAAATTCATAGCAAAACAAATATAACCGCTGGAGAACATTACAAGTGTAGTTTAAGTAAAACAGGAGCTTAAGACTGTCAAGATCTGACGAAGACGGAACTCACAGCAAATAATTCCTTAATTCACACATATACAAATTCCAACCTTTGACCTGCTAGAAAGTCACTCTTACTTGCTACTTGTGATTAGGGGATTTTGCTCCTACCAATCGGAATGCGCCACGTGGACCAATCAGGTCCTGCCAAGTGTCCCCTGGTTGGAACTGTCTTATTCGTCCACCTTGGACCTGTTATGTCACGACATGTGGCATACTCCATGCCTAATGGAGAAACCGGCCACCCAGGCCCAATTTCCGAGGGAAGCCCAATCGGCCCTAGGTTTACCTAAACCTAGGATGGGCACGTTTCCCAAGGTTATAAATACCTCCCTTAATCCTCATTAAGGGGGATTACAAGAAGATTACGAAAAACATTACGGAACAAACACATTAATTACACACAGTAATAACCGGCTGATCTCGCTAGCAAAGCAGATTACCTACATTAAACACTCTCACCTAGAGAGATCTTATTACTTTAATTTCCGCATTAATTACTCCTTAATCAGGTACTAACTTGACCGTTGGAGGCGGAGCTCACAGGAGTCTCCGTTATTTTGCAGGTACAGGCGTCCGGTTCCAGTCTCGGAATTGTAACTCTCCCGCAGGACATCAGAAAACCCCGAAACATTTGGCGCCGTCTGTGGGGAGAGTATTTCAGAGATGGCATCCAAGTCTGTACCGACTCCTGAAGAGAGGCGTCCCCTAGACGACCCTCAAGTTCAGTCGGACCATGATACCGAAAGTGAATTTGAAGTTGAAGCTCATACAGCTTCAGACGGGACCCTAAGGGCCCGACGTACCCGTCATACCGAAAGGAGGGAACGGGAGCATCTTCAAACAGGAAGCGAGCTAGCAGGCGCACCGCCTGTTCGGCAACAGCCGACTGATGGGTCTGCTCCCATCACAAGGAACGAACTCATGACCTTCATGAGGGACTTCAAGGGAGAGATTCAAGAGTTGATCAACAAGAAGTCGACTGCTCCAGTCAAGGAGCAGTCGGCCAAGAAACCCTCCACTTCACTGAAGAGGAAGCCAGTTCAAGGGCGAGAGGCGACTCCTCATCCTAAATCTAGGAAGCGGGAGCCACCTGCCCTTGATTTCACAAAATTCCGTTATCCTACAGGAAATAGGAAACCTGTTCGTCATATTCAGGCGGACGGGTCGAAGCAAACATTCACAGATGCTCGGCTACTGCTAGAGCAGAAGAAGAGTGACCGATTGTCAGAGTCGGCCTCTACTTCAAACTTTCAAGACAGTTTGCGAAATGCCTCGATGAGGCATACTCAGTCGTACCATGAGAGTCAGTCAGGCGGCACCTCCCGTCAGTCCGGCTTTCATAGTGCCCAGGCGGTACCAAACTTACCATTTGTGCCGCAACAACAGTATTTTATGCAGCCACCTCCATTTGGTGGACCTGCAGCAAAAAACGTCCAACCTATGGACTGGCAGCTACGGTTGCTTAGACTTGGTGAACAGCCGTCGGCCTTCTCCAAGGAAATTACTGAAGCCGCTCAGCCGGCCAAAGTGAAAAATGTACTAGTAGGCGCTTATGACGGCACTACTAACCCAGAAGACCATCTGATGGCATTCACCAACCTGATGTACCTTCAAGGGTTGGATGATCCCGCTTGGTGCAAGTGTTTCCCAGCGACTCTCAAAGGAATCGCACAGCAATGGTTCGACAACCTGCCGACTGGTTGTGTAAATAGCTTCAGGACGCTTGCTTACTTATTTGCCTCCAACTTCGCCATGAACATCCCTGCGAAGAAAACGACCCTTGATTTGGGAACAATTCAGCAGGGCGAGAAGGAGGGGCTTCGTTCTTACATCAGGCGGTTTAACCTGATGAGAATACAGATTCAAGGGTTACCGGATGAGGTAGCTTATACTGACTTTTTCAGAGGTCTCAAAGACGGGTCTACCTTCAAATTTGATTTGGTTCGAAAAAGGGTGGCGACTCTTCAAGAGGCCTTGATTGAAGCAGAAGCCTATATACAGGCGACTGATCTTTGTACGATAAAACAGTCGGACGGGAAAAGGTTCGACAAAAGAGAAGGACGACAGAAACAGTCGTCAAACAAAGATGAGAAAAGAAAAGAGGTCTGGGCGGCTGATTCCTCTAAACAGCCGGCCCAGAAAAAGAAAAAAGAATTCAAACCATACTCCCCAAAGTATGCGTTTAACAAGGATAACCAGTTTATCCTAAAAGAAATCAAGGGACGGATCTCAATTGAGAAGCCGGTCCCCATGAAGGGTTCTGCAAACAACCGGAACCAAGATAAAATCTGTGCTTATCATGATGACGTTGGTCATCACACCAATGACTGCATCAGTCTTATGCGGTACCTAGACCGCCTGGCTGAGAAAGGTGATCTTGACACTTATGTCAAGAAATCTACGGGGAACACTTCCTCAAAAAAGCAGTCGGCCAAAAAGAATCAACAGGCCGACAGCTCCGATACAGATGATGCAGTCGTCTACACCATTGCAGGCGGCTTCTCAGGAGGCGGCCCCACTATTAGGGGCAACAAAGATAATATAAGGCGGTTAGATGTAAATTCCGTTCACCAAGAACGGCCGTCCAAATATACATTTCCTGAGATTGTCATCACTGAAGAAGATCTAGGAGGGGTAAGGGGGCCGCATGACGACCCTCTCGTTATTGAATGTAAAGTGGCCAACCAGAGAGTTGGCCGAATCCTCATAGATACCGGGAGCTCCTCAGATCTCATCAGCAGCAAATGTCTGTCGAAACTGAAATATCAGACTGACTGCATACATCCGGCCTCCCACCCTTTAGTAGGGTTTGGAGGAGGAGTCGTCCACCCACTGGGACGAGTAGATTTACCCATTCGCCTGGGCGAAAAAGGGGAAGGACGAAACATGGTAGTCCGGTTCCTAGTAGTAGAGGAACTCTCGGCCTACAACATGATTCTGGGTCGACCAACCCTGAATAATTCCAAGGCTGTTATAATCCCGTCTCTTATGTTGCTCAAGTTTGAGAGGGATAATGGAACAGTCGGCTCCCTAAGGGGAGATCAGAGGATGGCCCGAGAGTGCTATCTCTCGGATGTCAAGCCCACTGTTATGGCCACTGGGTCAAGCGGTGAAAAAACAGACCTTGACAATGTCAAGGAGAGTGCGCCTGTTCAAGAAGCAGGCGGAAAAAAGAGAAAGGCATCCCAGACAGGGGCCGCAAAAAAAGCAAGAAAATAGCAATCATTGGTAGAGGAGCGGCCGGATGAGTTCCGTCCTCAGCCGGCTGGTGAGCATACGGACCTGGTCTTAGACGACTCACGTCCTGACCGAACAGTCAAAGTTGGGACGACTGCTCTGGGAAACCTTGGTGACGACTTTCACAACCTATTGAAAGAATACAAGGACATCTTTGCATTCGAAGTCCATGAAATGCCAGGCATTAGTCCTGATCTGGCGGTACATAAACTCGCCGTGGATCCGAAAAAGAAGCCGGTACGGCAAAAGAAGCGGAACCATGGCGAAGAAAGAAGTCAGGCGGCAGCCGCCGAAGTTAAAAAATTACTTGATGCAGGGTTCATTCGGCAATGTTACTTCCCAGACTGGGTTGCAAATGTGGTGCTTGTTAAAAAGCCGAATGGCACCTGGCGAATGTGTGTAGACTACACAGACTTAAACAAGGCGTGCCCCAAAGACAGTTACCCTCTGCCTAAAATTGATAACCTGGTCAACTCAACAGCCGGCCATGCCTTGATGAGTTTTATGGACGCCTATTCTGGTTTCCATCAAATTCCTTTATGGAAGAAAGATCAGGAGAAGACGGCCTTCGTCACTGATCAGGGGTTATACTGTTACACGGTCATGCCGTTTGGTCTTAAGAATGCCCCGGCTACCTTCCAACGAATGATAAACACTTTGTTCTTTGATCAGATTGGGAGAAACGTCGAGGCATACATTGATGATATGATTGTCAAGACTAAACTTCAGAAAGATCATCTGTCGGACCTCCGAGAAACTTTCGCCACACTCAGGCGGCACCATGTCATGCTCAATCCCAAGAAATGTGTATTTGGAGTTGAGTCTGGGAAATTTCTCGGATTCCTTATCAATCAGAGAGGAATAGAGGCGAACCCTGAGAAGGTGCAGGCGGTCATTGACATGCAGTCGCCTCGTACCATCCGAGAGGTTCAGAAGTTAACAGGTTGTCTGGCGGCCTTGGGAAGATTTCTAAGCCGATCAGGCGACAAATGCCTATACTTTTTCAAGGCAATTAAGAAAAAGGCAAGGTTTGAAT